CGAAACAAGTAGTAGGAAAGAGGATAAATAAAAAGCAATACTTATTAAAACTAATGAAAGTAGGCTACTATACAAGTATATGTATTTAGAACAATGGTCCTGCAAGACAAGACCCGCAAATCCGTGGCCACAGAACAGCAGAATATGAACGCAATGCACAAAGTCTCTCGTTAAGCATTTTCCTCCTGTAGAAAAACATAAACACTTAATATGGCTTAATGTATTAAGATACATTAAGTACAATTAAAAGATCAAATTCGATATATAGTTATTATTTAATGTACTACACGGCAGGCAGATGGCCATGAACACAATGCGCAAACTTTCACTTGTCCTCTTATACAGCAAAACGCTTAATGTGGCATAATAACGGACGATAAAGACAATTCAATAGCCTATATGTCTTGTTGTTGACTCAAAGTATATACAGAACAGCAGAATATGAACGTGCATTATGAAATGCATTAAGTGATTTTAAAAGGATCGACTCCGTACAGGCAAACAGACGAGCCCAGAACGCAATGCGTTAAATTGCACGTTAAACATTTTCCTCCCATAGAAAATCATTATAAATAAAACACGTAATGTAGCTTAATGGACAAAGACTATGATATAAAAGAGCTGTAGAAAGTTTATTCTTTATGGAAAAACGCTTAACACGAAACTGTGCGTGTTGCGTTTATTCTGGGCTCACCTGCTTGCCTGTACATATTAGTTATGTAGGCTATATTTTAATAATCAAGAGCATTGTGGTCTTTATCATCTTAGTCCATTCATTATGCCACGTTTTGCGGTGTGGGAGGAAAATACTATATACATATTCATTATAATAATAAACTGTATATTTAATTTGATATTTTAATAGCATCTTAATACATTACGCCACATTAAGTGTTTATGTTTTCCTACAGGAGGAAAACGCTTAGCGAGAGACTTTGCGCATGCGTTCATATTCTGCTGTTCTGTGGCCACGGATTTGCGGGTCTTGTCTTTTTCTTGCAGGACCCTGTATGTTATTGTACTAAATTAGTTTTAATCATTAAATCACCACCACAGCTTCTTGTCTCCATTGGCAACACGCACGATTTGTGTCGATTGCAAGTGACGTCGTAATTTAGTTTATTTTTTCTTGTCTTCACCACCTGGCTACTGTTGTCAAATGTTGAGAGATTCAAACAAAAATAAATCAATAAATAGAACGAAATAAAAAATAATAAAGACTGCAAGTGAAGTCGCTAGCGGAAGTGCAAGTGTCTGAGAGTGCACGTCTGAGAATGCACGCCTGAGAGTGCACGTCTGAGAATGCAAGTCTGAGAGTGCAAGTCTGAGAGTGCAAGCCTGAGAGTGCACGTCTGAGAGTGCAAGCCTGAGAGCGCACG